GTCAAACTATGAACATTTTGGGGGTGGGGCACCTGGCCACTGAGCCACATCCCCATCCCTGTATTGTATTTTATTTAGACACAGTCTCACTGAGTTGCTTAGCTCCTCACTGTTGCTGAGGCTGGCTTTGAATTCATGATTCCCCTGCTTCAGCCCCCTGAGCTGTTGGGATTACAGGTGTGCACCACCGCACCTGGCCAAGTTATAAATATTAACAGGAGTTTGGAAGAAGCTAATTTTCACCCTTATGGGTGACTGTGAGGGATTCAAGACTTCAGTGGAGGACTGTGAATGTGGTAAAATAGAAAGAGAACTAGAAGCAGAGTCTGAAGATGTGACTAAGTTGCTGCAACCTCATTATAGAACTTAGAGTTGCTTTGTATGGATGACCAAAGACTGGTTTCTTGAAATGGAATCTTCTCCTTGTGAAGATGCTCTGAGCATTGCTGAAGGGACAAGAAAAGATTTAGAATACATAAACTTAGTGTTAAACAGTGGCAGGATTTGAGAGGATTAACTACAGTTTTGAAAAAAGTTCTACTGTAGGTAAAATGCTGCTAAACAACATCACTTGTTACTTAAAAATTTTTCATGAAAGAATTGGTGGCTATCAAAGACAAGGGGGAAGTGAGATGAGTCAGAGACGGGATCCCTAAATTTTGTCTAAATGTACCTCTAACCAAATTTTGATTACAGACTTAAAGATATTTAGCTAAAGACAGAAGATCTGAACTGATATAGAGCTGCTGCCCAAGAAACAGAATTTGCAATTCAACACTAGTGGAATAACAGACTACAAATTTGCATTCTAGTTGCCATACAAAATTACCTGCTCTATGAAGAACCAAAAAATTAGGGGAGAAAAATAATTTTCTCTTTGGGAGTGCTTAGTTGGGATAGACAAAAGACAGATTAACAAAAGAAAAACAGAGGCTTTTTAATTTGTACAGTGTATTTTCCATATGAATGGGAGGTACCCAGGGAATGAGTAAATCTCAGATTTGGCTTAGAAATCTGTTTATATTGCATCTCTAACTAAAAACAGTAAATTTTTAGAGAATACAGAAAATGAAGGAAAAGAAATTTGAATTTTCATGCATGCTAATTGCAGGAAGGCAAATAAATGAAAATTTATTATATTGATTTCTCTGGTGACTTCTCCAGGCTGATTGGTGTCTAAAGTTGTCTTTACTTGTTGAAAAGGGAAGACTGACATTTTTGTAAATTTATGTCCTGCTTTTAGGCCAGTGGGGGAATGCAGAAAGCTGTTCTTGTATTGCTCCTTCTGAGTTGTCTTCAACTCAGAGTAAATAATTCTTATGTCAAAAAGACATGTTTTAGGGTGGCATATTCTACTCTTCTACAATAGAAACACATTTTCAGGAGAAAAGAAAATTTGCTGAAACCAACCTTGAAATGAACCAGATAGTGAAACTAGCAGACAGGATTTTAAAGTGAGTATTGTAACTGTCTTCCACAAAGCACAGCAAAAATTCTTTCAGTGAATAAAAAGACAGGAAAAATCAGCAGGGAAATGGAAAGGCAAAAAACAACATTATGGGTAGTCTAGAATTAATATAGACAAATCTGAAATTTAAAAGCTACTGGATGGATTTAGAGGAAAAAAGTGACTGAACTTAAAAATAGATCAATAGACATTTATCCATTTGTGAAAAGTAAAGAAAATATTGAAGAGATAAAAAGCAACAGGGCTTCAAGGACTTATTAGATTATATGAAGCAATCTAACATAATTGAAATCATAGAAGGAAAGCAGAGGAAGGATGGGAAATAAAAATAATCTGAAGAAATAGTGGGAGAGAATTTATAAATTCAATGAAAGATTAAAATTTGAAGAGCAAATCTTGAATAGAGCAGGGAAAAACAACACATTATGTATAGATAATTGATTAATGATGATTAATTAATTAATATGATTAATGGCTGATTTCTAGTTAGAAAATCATGGAGAACAGAGGAGAGTGAAAAAAAAAAACATAAAAGTACTAATAGAAACTGTCATCTAGAATTCTTTATTCAGTGAAAACATCCTTCAAGAATGAAGGTAAAATATATTTTCAGATTAAAAAAAAAAAAGAATTCAAGACCCCTGAGAGAACTTGTAATTGCAAACCCGTTCATTGAAATAGTGACATTTAAGAGGATATAGGTAAAAAAAAAAATTTTCTACTCTTTTATCTCTGAATTTGTTTACAAAACAGGTTGTACATGAAAATTGCATTATTATCTTGTAGGATTCATTGCTCATGTATTGGTAATACAGATATCAGCTGTAACAGAATAACTTGGGGTAGGACCTAAACCTATAAGATTCAGAGTTTCCGCATTTTACATGAAGTGGCACATTACTAACTGCAAATGGATTGTGAAAAGGTGTGGATATCTCTTGTATCCTCTAGAGCAACAATTTAATTTTCCTGCTAAAAGTTCAGCAGGAATATTAAAATACCTTTCTAAAAGTATTCAAACAATCCAAAAAGCAGGAGAAACAATAACAAAAACAAAAATCAAACAAACTGAAGAAGTTAAGAATGTGCCATCTCAAAATATGCTGAATTGGTATATTGATTATTTCAAGCTGAAATTACTTGAGAAACTGTAAGTTCCATTTGGCATCTCTTTTCCTACATGCAGCAAGCCATAAATATTCTTTGGGGAGAGAAATCTTTGTGCCAAGGCAGGAAAATAGTTTTTTATCACCAGACATTGGTGTGTTAGTCAACTTTCTGCTTCTGGGACAAAATACCTGAGATTATCAACTTATTACAAAGAAAGCTTTATTTTGGCTTCTGGTTTCAGAGATTTTAGTCAATGGTCAATTGGCCTCTGTGCTTTTGGGCCTCTGGTGATGTAGCACATAGTGACAGGGAACATGTGGTAGAGCAAAGCTGCTCACCTTATGGTGCTAAGGTTGCAAAGAGAGAAGGGAAGGGGCTGGGAATCCCAAATGCCCTTTCAATGGAATGCCCTCAATGGCCTAATTTCCTTCCACTAAGCTCCACTTACTAAAGATTCCACCACCTCCAAATAGCACCACAAGCTAGTGACTAAGCCTTAGCATATGGGTTTTGGGGAGATATTTAAGATCTGTGATTGGGACCGTAATGAAGCCAAATAAATAATTTTATTGAGTTAACCCTTATTTTACACTAGATTTTACATCCCTTTCATAAATCACTTAGTGACATTCTGGAATTTACTATTTGTAGTTCAGAGATAAGTCTTTTCTTCCTTTGCAAATTATTGTTGTCTAAAAATAATAAAAACATTGATTTGAACATTTTCTTAGGACTTCACTCTGTTGTAAAATTCCCATGTAATATGCTTTTTTCTTGCTAATTAGCTCTTGTTTTAATTCAGTTCCTAAATCCAGCCAAAGAGCCCACATAAGAACTAAAGAGTGATAGAAGGGAATTCTCACTCCCTACCAAAAAAAAAAAAAAATAGCTAACGCTGTGCTATCCAAGATATTTACTTTAACTCTGAATACAGAGAGACTGAAAATAAATGGACAGCAAAAGTAATCATCAATAAGAAAACTGATGTGACTATAATATCACATAGGATAGATTTTATGACAAGAAGATAAAGAGGGTATTAGGTTTTAAATATTTACCTTTCATTAGTTTTGTTCTGAGTGTACACAAAAATTTCTTGGATCAGAGATTTTTTTTTGTTTACCAGACAGCACATAGCAGGTGGTTCCCTGTGACTCAGTTCTTAATGGCGGGGGTGATGCAGTGAAAGTGGGGTCTGCTGTCCTACATGCACAGAGTTGTATTACAGGCAAGAATGAAGAAAAAATAAATTTTCTGCACTTTTTATAAAGGGGAAAGAGGCAATGTCTACCCTTCCCCTTCTAGGAGAATCTTATTATAAATGTCTTACTCTAACCCTTTGGAATGTACACTAATTTCTATATGAAAAAGACCAGCCCGTTGTCCAGTTTTACCTTTTCTCATCCCTTTTTGAGATGTAAACATATATTTCCAGGGGTTAGCCACTTGGAATTTTCATTACATATACAGTGGCAAATTAATTCTTAGTGTTTGATTCCAGAATCCCAAATTTCAGTAAAATTTGCTTTGACACCTCTAATTGTGCAATACAGGTTCTTTTCTATAGTCCTACAATAGGAGCATTTCATTATGAAAGTGAGTCAATTTTTTAGGAAGATTTAATAGTCAAATTTGTGTATGCCACATAACAACTTCAAAATACACGAAAGAAAAATAATCATAAAAGACAGAAATGAAATTCTATAATCATAAACTGTTTTTAAGACCCTTCAGCAATTGATATAGCAAATAGACTTTTAAAAATCAACAAAAGTATAAGAGATTCTACTATGTATTTAAGAATGTTGTATATTTCTCTTGGGAATGACTGCCAGAAATGAAAAAAATACCTGTTTCCTTTGTTCTTAGCAGCCTTAGAATTTAATATTAAGAAAAAAAGTATTCTCTATTAGTCTGACAGGGAAACTGTGGTACTTGTAATGATTTGCAATTCATGAATCATCTCCGGATTGGACATTTTGCATATGCTTTTCATTTGATTTTTCTTTTGTGTAAGATGCATTAATAATTTGGGTTGTCTTTGGTATTATGTTTTTGTTTATTTATAATATCTTATATTGCAAGTATTTTCTATTTGTCATTAATTTTTAAATCATCTTATGTGTTTTACCTTATAGAAGCTAAAATGTTTGTGTAGTCAAATCTATATTTTTATGTTTATTTATTTATTTTTTATTTTATACCAGTTATTTTTTGTGAACCTACTTGTGAGTTGTAATACCCATAGAGCATTATCTCAGTAAGATACTAACCCTGTAAAAGTCAAGGTAGTGTCCAGGTAGTCAGACATTGAGATGGGCCACATAAAATAAGTTCTGTTATGTTCATGTGACTTACACTGTCATTATGACATTGTCCTATTCTTGTGCAACTTAAATTTATCTTTTCTTTTGCTTCTTAGATCATTCACAATTTTGTGAGGCGGATCCAGACCAAAATCAAAGATCTTCTACAGCAGATGGAAGAAGGGCTGAAGACAGCTGATCCTCATGATTGCTCTGCTTATACTGGTTGGACAGGTGAGAATATGGAGTAGAAGCAATTAATATTTTTTTCTTATATTATGAGATGTAAGACTTGGCTTTGAAATTTTCTTTTAAAGTGGTAAAGTTTTATACTCTTGAAGTCTTAAACTATGTCTTCATTGAGAGATTCTTTGGAATTTTATTTCTAAAGAAATATCTTCTGCCTGAAGTTTGACTTTTAATGTATATAGTATGTGATATTTTTACATTTAGTTAACCTAATATGTAGCTGTGAAATGTGTAATAAAAGTAAACTTGCATAAGGGGTCAGGTGTATTTTGTTTTGCTTGGTTTGTTATCATTCTTGCTTTACGCTTTGTGATAGGTTGTGATTGAATGATTTCTCTGGTCTGTTTCATAAATCATTTACCCTTACTGCCTGAACTCAATTTGACTCATTTGTACATGTAAAGATTTTTATTTAAATTTTAATAATAATGGTTAAACAGGCAACCAGTAATATACTTCACTTTTTAAAAAATATAATTTCAAAATTAACTTGCTTTAACTAATATTTATATTTTTATTGTTTTTACCAGGTAGCCAGAACATTATAACAGCTATTTGGGGTATATAAAGGAAATAAGACAGACCTTGTTCTTAGGGATTAGACTAAAGGCTGATTAAATTGCTAATGACAGTTTTTATAACCTTCTTGTTAAATTGTTGTAGTTGAATTTCCAATTAGCATAGACACAGGTATATATGTTAGAGCTACCGTGAACCCAAAACCTATTTTTGCAATGCACAGCCAAACATGGCAGCCTTGATAATTATGTACTTATATTTATTTCAGTGATGTTTTATTTATTATTTGCCTTTTATAAGTACAACAATTATACGGTGACATTAAAATTTATGTTTCAGACTTGTAAACCCAGATAGATATAGACCAAGTTCAATTACAGTGCGGAAAAAAAAAAAA